TCTTTAAAGGTCGTAAAACCTCCTTAAACTTCATATGCCTGCATGAGGCATCTTCAGCCATCCCATTCTACTACATGAGCAAAAAATTAAACTTCCGTTGTATTTGAATCACTATGCATTTTGTGGTCTACTTATTCATAGCAGTTAGACAAACCCTAACTATTTTTTTTAAGCTTTAACAATTTTTTTTGTGTTTCTTTTTATTAGTTTCAAAGGTAGAATTTAGTGATTCATCAGTTGCATATAACGCCAGTGCTCATTATATCAGTGCCCTCCTTAATGCCCATCACCCAATTATAATTATCCCTTCCCCCCACACCCACCTCCCCTCCAGCAACCCTCAGTTTGTTTCCTAGAGTTATTTCACTTAGCATAATACCTTCTAGTTCCATCCACATTGTTGCAAATAACAAGCTTTCATTCTTTTTGATGGCTGGATGGATAGATTGATAGACAGATGTACACACACACACATACACCCACACACCTCACATCTTTATCCATTCTTTGGTTGATGGACATCTGGGCACATTCCATATTTTGGCTATTGTGGACCTTGCTGCTATAAACATTGGGGTGCATGTGCCATTTCAAATCACTATGTTTGTATCCTCTGGATAAATACTTAGTGCAAATGCTGTGTTGTAGGATAGCTCTATTTTTAACTTTCTGAGGAACCTCCATACAGTTTTCCAGAGTGGCTGCACCAGTTTGGATTCCCACCAGCAGTGTCAGAGGGTTCCTCTTTGTCCACATCTTTGCTTCTGACTGGTGTGAGGGTGGTATCTCGTTGTTTTGATTTGTATTTCCCTAATGCCAAGTGATGTGGAGCATTTTTTCATGTGTCTGTTGGCCATTTGTCATCTTTGGATAAATGTCTCTTCGTATCTTCTGCCCATTTCTTGACTGAATTTTTTGTTCTTTAGGTGTTGAGGTTAATAGGTTCTTTATAGATTTTGGATACTAGCCCTCTATCTTTCAAGACACTTGCAAATATCTTCTCCCATTCTGTAGGTTGCCTGTTAGTTTTGTTGAATGTTTCCTTTGCTGTGCAGAAGCTTTTAATCTTGATGAAGTCTCAGTAGTTCATTTTTGCCTTTGTTTCTCTTGCATTTGGAGATGTGTTTAGCAAGGAGTTGCTGTGGCTGAGGTCGAAGAGGTTGCTGCCTGAGTTCTTTAGATTTTGATGGATTCCTGTCTCACATTTAGGTCTTTCATCCATTTTGAATTTATTTTTGTGTATGGTGTAAGAAGGTGGTCCAGTTTAATTCTTCTGTATGTGGCTGTCCAGTTTTCCCAACACCATTTGTTGAAGAGACTGTCTTTTTCCCATTGGATATTCTTTCCTGCTTTGTCAAAGATTAGTTGACTGTAGAGGCAAGGGTCCATTTCTAGATTCTCTGTTCTGCTCCATTGATCTGTGTGTCTGTTTTTTTTTTGTGCCAGTACCATACTGTCTTAATGACTACAGCTTTGTAATACAGCTTAAAATCTGAAATTGCGATGCCTCCAGCTTTGGTTTTCTTTTTCAACATTACTTTGGCTCTTTGGGTTCTCTTACGGTTCATACAAATTTTAAGATTGTTTGTTCCAGCTCTGTGAAAAATGTTGATGGCATTTTGAATGAACATGGATGCAAAAATGCTCACCAAGACACTAGCTAATAGAACCCAACAGAACATTATAAGGATTATTCACCACAACCAAGTGAGATTTATTCCTGGGCTGCCAGGATGGTTCAGCATCTGCAAATCAGTCAATGTGATACACCACAGTAATAAAAGTCCTATTAAAAGGAACATATTAGGGATCCCTGGGTGGCGCAGTGGTTTAGCGCCTGTCTTTGGCCCAGAGCGCGATCCTGAAGACCCGGGATCGAATCCCACGTCGGGCTCCCGGTGCATGGAGCCTGCTTCTCCCTCTGCCTATATCTCTGCCTCTCTCTCTCTCTCTCTCTCTCTCTCTCTCTCTCTGTGTGTGTGTGTGTGTGTGTGTGTGTGACTATCATAAATAAATAAAAATAAAAAAAGGAACACATTAACACATGCTCTGCTTTTTCTTTAGTGTGCTTTACTCTTTCATAATCCTTATAAGCGAGGGATAGCAGGGTAAAGATACAAGTATATGAACTTGTGGTCCGTACATTTAGAAGATAAAATTGAAGAATTAGATTTTGTCATTTTTTGGTTGAGAAAATTTAAATAATGAGATTTATGGCTTATTATTAAGGCTTATTTAGATAATTTATGTATTTTTCAGTTTTTTATTGTTTGAGGCCAAGGTTTCAAAAGAGTATGGAGTTTTGGTATACCTTGCTTTAATTGGAATTGAGGGGGTGGCTTAGAGATTTAGTGCCCGCCTTCAGGCCAGGGCGTGATCCTGGAGACCCGGGATCGAATCCCACATCAGGCTCCCTGCGTGGAACCTGCTTCTTCCTCTGCCTGTGGTTCTGCCTCTCTCTCTCTCTCAGTCGGTCTCTCATGAATAAATAAATAAAATCTTTAAAAAAATAATTGGAATTGAGGGTCTAAGTTTTTTCTTTGTAACATTATAATGTTAAAGATATGATAACCAAGATACTCTTTTTCTATTTATTAGCTGGTTCTGACCCATTTCATTAGAAAAGTTTTTTTTGTTAGTGATGAGATATCTAGACATGCTCCAGCAATTGGAGGGCAAGATATTTTCTTCAAAATAAGCATGTTTGTGAAATTCCATATTACCTTCCTATGGAATATTGGGGAAGTTAAAATATACACTTAGGCTTTTGTCTGGCAGCTTTTACCTAAAGTAACTGATAATATTGTATCATAAAATTGGGGGGTTGCTTTAAATCTGTTTAAATTTAAATAAATGCTGAGGTAGTCCAATAATGTCCTTAATATCAAGTACAATATTGATCAGTCTTCTTATCTAGCAAAGTTTAGCACCTTTTACTTTCTAGAATATTTTGATTATGGAAATAAATAATATACCATCCAATGTAATGAAAATAATTATCACAAAATCTATGTATTTTACTGTCTAGAGAAGGACTTACCCCCTTTCTTCTTAGACAATAAATTTAATTTCATGCATTGTGTTTAGTAATCTTATTTCTCCTGGGAATCTTGAGTTCTTGTCTGGGTTACAGTTCATTCAAATAAGAAAATAAGCTGAAATAGAGATTGGCAAGAAATAAACCTTACAGTAGAGCTTTAAGAGGTAACAGCAAAGGACAAAGCAGCCATAGGAAAGAAGAAAAAAACTAAATGTATAAACAGGAGTCTGAAGGAATTAAGTGAATTGACAAGCTGAGTCCTATAGCCTTGGATACCTTTTAGGAGTATTGAACTATTATAGCATATGCAATAATTGATAATAAAAATTATCTCGACACAAAAAATGAGTTATGTTTGGAATCCTTTTTGGTAGAATGTAAAGTACATTTTAGAGTTTCTTCAGAAATTGTTATAATCAAGTTTGAGTGGTTCCCAATGATCTGAAAATTTTACTTAAATCAGAATGGCTTATTTCCTAACCAAATAGCTACAATTTCTAAAAAATTATTTATTTTTTGATTTCATAGAAAAAGGTACATGATTGTTGATCTCTGACTACCTGGTTATTCACCTTCAAATGCAGTTCCTTCAAGTTATTAACCTTGGAGTGGTTTGGGTTCCTATCTAGTTACTATAGGAAGAGGCCACATTTTAGATTCTTTTATGGAAGTCAGAAGCTAGAGTAATTACTAAATTTTATACATATATATTTTTAAATTTTTTTTATTGGAGTTCAATTTGCCAACATATAGCATAACACCCAGTGCTCATCCCGCCAAGTGCCCCCCTCAGTGCCCGTCACCCAGTCACAAATTACCAAATTATTAACAGATGAGTTTTTGCACTTTGATTTTTAAAACAAAGTTTAGGGGCACCTGAGTGGCTCAAGTTATGATGGGGGGGCCCTGGGTTTGAGCCCCACTTTGGGCTCCTGCTTTTCCCTCTCCCTTTGCCCCTCCCCACCCCCATTCGTGTGCATGCACTCTCTTGCTCTCTCTCAAATAAACAAAAACTTAAATTTAATCCACTTGCTATCTTTCATATAAATTGATTTTAATAATTTATATTTAACTCTCCCCCCCCTCGCCCCCTGCCAAAAGCTATGTCTATATTCTTTGAAATCTATCACTTGCTTTTCTAGAAAAGCTGTATTTCAGTACAGCAGAAACTGCTTTCTACTTGACTGATCATTTGTTTACAGGTACTTTGCAGCAGGAAGATAACTGGTTGGCACTGCTGAGCTTTTATTCATTTTACAAGTGGGGTAAAACATTAAAGTTATACTAAAAGAGAAATATGTTTTATTAAAGTAACTCTGCAGGGTTATTCTCTATAGCACACTGAAGATACTCCTAAACAAACTCACCACAGTGCCTCACATGTGATAGATGTTTAAGAAGTACTTGTTGAATGAATGAGCATTGAATTAAAAGTATTGGGATCCCTGGGTGGCGCAGCGGTTTGGCACCTGCCTTTGGCCCAGGGCATGATCCTGGAGCCCCGGGATCAAATCCCACATCGGGCTCCCGGTGCATGGAGCCTGCTTCTCCCTCTGCCTATGTCTCTGCTTCTCTCTCTCTCTCTCTCTTTCTCTATCATAAATAAAAATTAAAAAAAAAAAAGGTATTTTGGGGGGCAGCCCGGTTGGCTCAGCGGTTTAGCGCCGCCTTCAGCTCAAGGCCTGATCCTGGAGACCAGGGATCGAGTCCCACGTCAGGCTCCCTGCATGGAGCCTGCTTCTCCCTCTGCCTATGTCTCTGCCTCTCTCTCTCTCTCTCTCTCTCCCTCTCTCTGTGCCTCTCATGAATGAATAAATAATAAAAATTAAAAAAATAAAAGTATTTTTGTTGTCTTAGGAACTTACAGGCAAAGTATCAGATGCCTTATATACAAAAGATTCTTAACTGGAAAATGTTAACCATCATATAATAATTATATTTATTTGTGTCTGGGACACAGGTGGCGATAAAAATAATTGATAAATCTCAGCTGGATGCAGTGAACCTTGAGAAAATCTACCGAGAAGTACAAATAATGAAAATGTTAGACCACCCACACATCATCAAACTTTATCAGGTAAGATGTAACCTTATTTCTCTCCATGTTTCTCACTACCTGTTTCCTCATTTGCTTCATTTTTCTCTTTTGTGTTAGTTTTCTTAGTCCATAAAAAAAGAATACATGGTTTTTATTAAGCTGAGCGCACACATTTTCTCTAAGTAAAAAATTAGGAAATTAAAAAACTAGTAGCTTAATTTTAAGTTGTCTCAGACTAAGTTATTTAATTTAAAAAGTTTGTAATTGGGGATCCCCGGGTGGCTCAGCGGTTTTAGCGCCTGCCTTTGGCCCAGGGCGCGATCCTGGAGTCCAGTGATCAATTCCCGCGTTGGGCTCCTGGCATGGAGACTGTTTCTGTCTCTGCCTCTCTCTGTCTATCATGAATAAATAAATAAATCTTAAAAAAATAAAAATAAAAATAAATTAAAAAGTTTGTAATTGTGCATTTATGATGCTCTACCCTGTTGGCTTTTGGTGGTGATGCCATTAATGAGGATATGGCAGTTTTGCTTATTTAAAAAAATACACTTTATGTTTTATGAAATACAAAGGTTAAAATAGTATATTACTTAGTGGCATATTTTATAATACTTAGAGCCAAATCTTATCTTGTTTGGATTATTTTGTCAGATAAAGGAGTCATTTTTTAAAAAATCATTTTTTAATAAATTATTGAGATATAATTTTTGTAAAATAAATTGTACCCATTTCAAGTGTGAGCTGTGTTTTTTTTTTTTTTTTTTTTTAAAGGAAGATCTTCTCTGGGGTTCCTGGGTGTCACAGTTGGCTAAGTGTCTGACTCTTGGTTTCAGCTCTGGTCTTTATATCAAGGGTTGTGGGATCCAGCCTCATGGCTGGCTCCATGCTCAGCACAGAGTCTGCTTGGGATTCATTCTCTTTCTCTCTCCCCCTTCCCTTTGCCCCCCCCCCACCACCTGCACATGCTCTCTCTCTTTCCCTAAAATAAATTAATAAACCTTAAAAAAAAAAAGGAACATCTCTGATTCTTAAAGAGTAATTCATGTTGAGGAATGGTAATGTAATACAAAACATTTTCTAAACACTTCTATTCATTAATTAGAATTTTTATACTGGAAAACTATTTTTTTTAGGGGGGGGAAGGCAAGAGAGAGAAAGAGAAGAGGAAGAGAGAGAATCTTAAGCAGGCTCCATGCTCAGCACCAAGCCTATAACCGGGCTTGATCTCACAACCCTGAGGTCATGACCAGAGCCAAAATCAAGAGTCCAGTGCTTAACCAGCTGAGCCATCCAGATGTCCCTATTGGAAAACTATTTTTAAACTAAAATGTTATAGTATGCTAGCCCAGGACTTGGATCTCCATAGCGTGAGGCATGCACCCAGTGGTATGCTGGACTCAGCCTGTGCTAGCTTGTAAGAACTGATTGGTAGATTTGTAGATGTTTTGCGATTCAGCTCAAAATCAGCCTTGGTGGGAGTATTTACACCATAGAGAGCTACTTACAGGTCAGGGCTTTTTTTTTCCCACACACAGAGCTAATACTGGCATGCCATTCTGTGCACTCACGTGGGTTAGCACAAGTGTCCCTTGGGCATAAGAAGCAAATATTAGAACCCTATGCTTATTTTTTGTGTTTATCTTCTTGTGTGCATTCTATAATGTACATAATGTATTTATACAGTGGCACAAGTATGTAATTTGTGTCTCTGCTCATATTCATATAAACATATGCATATGTGTTTGTATATACACGTACATGTATATGTGATACATGTTTAGCTAAACAACTTATTACTAATAGAGACTTGCAATTAAAAAGGTGTAGAAACCAGGGGATCCCTGGGTGGCTCTGCGGTTTGGCGCCTGCCTTTGGCCCAGAGCGCGATTCTGGAGTCCCGGGATCGAGTCCCATGTCGGGCTCCCGGCGTGGAGCTGCTTCTCCCTCCTCCTGTGTCTCTGCCTCTCTCTCTATGTCTATCATAAATAAATAAATCTTAAAAAAAAAAAAGGTGTAGAAACCATTGGAGACCATTAATATTACCATTAGAATAAGAGACCATGGTGTGCCACTCAAAACAGTTCCTAAGTTCTAAAACTGCAGACTTCTCTGGTCATATTTATATCAGAGTATTTCTCCTTTTAAGCTTTTTTTTTTTTTAATTCCTAAAGAGGATCGTTATAAGGAACTAATCCAAATCCTTAGAAGTCTGATGAACCATAAGCCAAACTGAGGTTAAAACTACGGTAATTCACATAATTCCATCTTTATTAGAGCTAAATAAGCGGTTAAATTGACTTACTGTTTAGCTTATTCAGACTCCAGTTGTTGGTAGCTCTTAGTTTTCTGGCCTGATTGGGAATAATCTTAAACCTTCATGTTAGAGCAAAATTAATTTCCACCTTTTCAGTAGATAGCAGTTAAATTTTCATTCTTAGCATGTGCCAGTACATAAAAAGATAATGTTACAAGGAATCTAAAATTCACTCATTTTGAGCTTATAAATTAATTTCCTTTTGATTCAGTATAGTTTGAAATACGAAGTTTGTGACACTGACATGCTTCCTTTCTAAACATAGAAAAACTAATTTGAATAAAACTGTACAGCAATGGAGTTAGGAAGAAGCTTTTGAACAATGTTTTTAAAATAACAGTACTTTGTAATAATATTACAACAGAATAGGAGGAATATACTATTGTGCCAGATTATCTAGACTACAGGCTAGATAAATTGAGCTCTATTTTATTATTCTTAATCAGTCTACCATATAGCACAGGGCTAGAAAAGTCCATCAGAAGGTGGTAAAAAGTTGATCTTCCATTTGTTAAAATGGAAATTTTGTGTCAGTAGGTCTGGGGAGGGGCCTGAGATTCTCCATTTCTAACAGATGCCAGGGCAGTGCTGCTGTTGTTGCTGGTCCATGGACCATACTTGGAAAAGTGAGGATCTAGATTTCTCAGAAAAGTTTTAGCAGAAGGTTATTGTCTTGTAAACTTTGCCACCTTCTGAATTATTCATAAATTTGATACTTTTATTAGTTTTATGTAATAACTCCATAGAATGTTGAGTTGCAATATAATAGAACTGCAGTCCTTTCCTGTCAGACTAATATGGAATTATTTATCAATAGGTAATGGAGACCAAAAATATGTTGTACCTTGTGACAGAATATGCCAAAAATGGAGAAATTTTTGGTAAGTATTTACTATTCTTTAAATTTGTTTTTAATTTGAAAATGTCACTAATCTTCATGAATGGAATATTTCCTATTGATTTTCCTGCTTGTTTAAGAGTTGGCAACATGAACTAGAAATTTTTAAGCATTACAATATAATAAAATATTCAGTAAAACAAAGATGTGGAATTTAATTTATTCTCTTGTGTTCATGATGTTTATGGTATTAAAGCTATTGCTTAATTCTGTCATCTGCTATTGCAAGGGGGACTGTCTTTCCTTTTATCCTCATTTTTTACCTTTCCTTCCAGGGGAAAAATCAGTTGACAAATACTGAGTTTCAGCTATGTCCCAGGCATTGTTGTAGGTTTAGGGGACGTAATGGTGACCGAAATAATCCAGTCCCTTCCGTTGTGGCTCATACATTTTAGTAAGCTACTGATTATACTGACTATAGCTGTGAGACCCTCGGAAAGTCATTATACCTTTCTGGGACTTGATTCCTTCATCTCTAATAAGGAAGGGTTTTGATTAATTGGTTTCTATGATCCATTCTAACCCTTAAAAAAATTACAAATATTTTGTTCTAGTTTTCACATATTTTTATTCTTACAGAGCCAGAACACTTAGGTAGTCTAACCACTTTTGGTTTTTAACCTGCACATTTAAATCCAAAATGGTTTTTAAATACCCTTAGTGAGTAATTATTCATATATAGTAAATTCCTTATATTTCATGTGTACAACCTAATTCACTTTCGCATGCGCACACACGTGAAAGAAACCATCACCACGGTCAAGATATCCATAATTCCCAAAATATCCTTTGTCTATCTTGCCCCACCTCACCTCCAAGCACCTACTGCTCTGTTTTCTGTTGCTATAGATGAGTTTGTGTCTTGTAGAGTTTTATAAATGTGGTCATACAGCATATACTCTTTTTTTTTTTTGCATGGCATTTTTCAGTGTAATTGTTTTAAGATCCATTTTGTTGTGTGTATCAATACACCATTTCTTTTCATTGCTAAGTAGTTTTATTGTAAATAGCTTTCTACTGTATGAATATACCCCAGGTTATCCATTCATTTGTTCCTATGGATATTTGGGTTGGTTTTGGATTTTGGCCATTACTCATGAATTGCTCTGAACATTCATAAGTCTTTGACTTACAGTCTACCTTCAGGTAATTATTCATCACTTTATATATAGCATGAGTCTTAATATGCCATTATTTTGCAGCTCCTGGCTTTTATGTTCTTGTCAGACATTTTACTTATGCTTATTTTATAAAATACAAAATACAGTGTTGTTGCTTTTGTTTAAAAAGTCAATTATGTTTTAAAGATATTGCAGTATTTAAAAAAATCTTACATATTTATTAGTGAAATTATTACTGTATCCCTATATATAGATGCACATTTTCATTTTCATTTTCATTTCTTTGTATAGATACATACCTTCATCTGGTGTCATTTTCCTTCTGTCTGAAGGATTTTCTTTGGCATTTCTTATAATGCAGGTCTGTGGGTGATGAAATCTTTCAGCTTTTGTGTGTCTAAAATCTTTGTTTTTGAAAGATATTTATACTGGGTATATAATTCTAATTTGGGCTTTTTTTTTCTCTTTCAGTACTTTAAAGATGTTGCTTCCTGTATTCTCATTTGCATTATTTCTGAAAAAAAAATCTGTCCTCTTTTTCTTTATTCCTCTGTATGTAATGTGGCTCGATATCGTGGCTGTTTTTATAGTTTTTTGTTTATTACTGGTTTCAGTGATTTCGCTATGATATGTATGGTTTTCTTCATGATTCTGTTCTTTGAGCTTCCTGGACCTGTGAATATATAGCTTCCATCAATTCCAGAAAACTCTCAGCCATTAGTTTCTCACCCAGTTTTTCTGGCCCACCCATTTCTCATCTTTAGAGACTCTGATTACACATATATTAGGCTGACTGAAATTGTTCTACAGCTCACTAATGTCTTTTACCATTTAAAAATATTCCTTTGTCTTCCTGTATTTCCTTTTGGATAGTTGATGTTTGTAGGTCTTCAAGTCCTAGCATCTTTTCTTCTGCAATGTCTAGTTTGCCATTAATCTCAATCCATTCGCCATTAATTCCTCGTCTCAGATGTTGCAATTTTCTGCTCTGTAAACTTGATTAGGGCCTTTTTCTTTCTTTTTTTATAACTACTATGTCTTTTTTTTAAGAATTTATTTATTCATGAGAGATAGAGGCAAAGACATAGGCAGAGGGAGAAGCAGGCTCCTCGAGGGGAGCCCAATGCGGAACTCCATCCCAGGACCCCAGGATAATGCCCTGAACCAAAGGCAGATGCTCAACCACTGAGCCACCCAGGTGTCCCTATCTACTATGTCTTTAGTTAGGTTTTTAAACATCTGGAATACAGTTTTAATAACTTGTAATATCTACATCCCCTAAATCTGGTATCTCTATCAGTGCTGAATCAGTTTTAAACCATTCATATTTTTCCCCAATTTTGGTCAGATTTTCCTGCTTTTTCACATGCCTGGTAGTCTTTGAGTGGATGTCAGACGTTGTCAGGTTTACCTTACTGGTTGCCACATATTTTTGTATTCCTATACCTTCTCTTGACCTTTGATGTGGGACACAGTTGAGTTACTTGGAAGCAGTTTATATCTTTTGAGTCTTCCTTTTATGATTGGAGTAGTGCTCTGTCTAGGTATTATTATTTCCCACTTTGGAGTACTCTACCCAATGCCCTGTGATTTTGGAGCTTTTTTAGCCTGGTCAGTAGAAACAGACAGTGTTCCTGGTACCAGGCACTATTTTTTTTTTTTAATCCTCATAGATGATTCTTTTTCTAGCCTTGAGTGGTTTTCTCACATATGTGCCAGTACTCTCCTGGATGCTCAAGGGGGACCTTCACATATGAGAGCTTTGCAGTTTTCACCTCTCTCCTTTGGTACGCTATGTTTTGTTATCTTTATTCAGCTTGTTCTCAGACTCTCAGTTCTGTCTCCTTAACTCAGGGACTCTGCTGGGCTCTGCCTGTGTCTCCTTTTCCTATCCTGTGGCCTACATCCTCTCTCTCAAGGCATTAGTTGAGGGTATTCATGAGTCTTACTTCATTTCTTTCCTGCCTGTCAGGGATGACTCTTCTTTGCCTCATGTTCAGTGTACTATAAACCAGTGTCATATATTTTTGTCTTTTATTTGTTGTGGGGGTTGTTTTGGGCGGATAAGTCCACTCACTGTTACTGTATCTTGGTTGAAAGAAGTTTCCAATCCTATCAAAATTATCTTTAATTTTAGCTATTTTTTTAAAGATTTCATTTATTCATGAGAGAGATAGACAGAGAGAGAGAGAGAGGCAGAGACACAGGCAGAGGGAGAAGCAGGCTCCATGCAGGGAGCCCGATGTGGGATTTGATCCCGGGTCTCCAGGATCACGCCCTGGACTGAAGGTGGCACTAAACTGCTGAGCCACCTGGGCTGCCCAAGTTTAGCTATTATAAAAGAAAGAATTATGTATACTTCTGTAGTTTTGAGAAATGTATTATTTAAAGTTGAATTCTAAATAGTTTTTTTTTTTTAAGATTTTATTTATTCAGTATCAGAAAGGGAGACAGAACATAAAGACTCCTAACTCTGGGAAACGAACTAGGGGTGGTGGAAGGGGAGGAGGGCGGGGGGTGGGGGTGAATGGGTGACAGGCACTGAGGGGGGCACTTGACGGGATGAGCACTGTGTGTTATTCTGTATGTTGGCAAATTGAACACCAATAAAAAATAAATTTATTATAAAAAAAACTGTTCATACATTCAGATAAAGGGCAAATATATATGTAAAAAAAAAGATTTTATTTATTCGAGAGAGAGAGAGAGAGGCAGAGACACAGGCAGAGGGAGAAGCAGGCTCCATGCAGGGAGCCTGACATGGGACTCGATCCCGGGACTCCAGGATCATGCCCTGGGCGGAAGGCAGCGCTAAACTGCTGAGTCACCAGGGCTGCCCTAAAAAGTTCTATTTAATCATTTTCTAATTGTGTTTCAGGAAAGGTATCTTGCCTTTTTTACTTACAATTTTTCTTTTTCCTGCTACTGCTTATTAAACTTATTTAAATTCTTAAGATATTTATTTAGAAGCTTTTTAACTGATGCTATAATCAGAACCGTATGGGCTTTGAAGCCAAACAAATCTAGCTTGCCATGTTACTTGTTGCATCACTTGTGGCAGGTATCTCTCCTTTTCTTCTTTCTTTTCCTTCACCCTTTTTTCTGTCTTCTGTTCTTACCCTTTTTCTCTCTTTCCTGTTCTTTCTTATATTTGCTTATTCATTCAGTTTAATCAGTTTTTCAAGAAACCTTTATTGAAAACCAGTTATGTGTTACATACTGTTTATATGGTTAGGACTACCACAATGAAGAAAACAGACAAAAATCCCTGTTACAAACCTTACATTTTGGTGTGGGGATAAAGACCATAAAAAATAAGTAAATTATATAGTATATTAGATGGTGATAAGTGTTATGGACATAGTAGAACAAGAAAGGGGGTGACTGGGGAGTAGGGAAGTAATTGCAATGTTAAATAGAGCAGTCAGGGAAGGCCGGACTGACATTTGAGCAAAGACTGGAAAGCACAGTCAGATAGTTATGGAAGAAAGGATCATCCAGGAGAGGGAAGAGTAAATCCAGAGGTTCTGAAGGAGTACTGTGCGGTATGTTCAAGGAAGAGCAGGGAAGCCAGTATAGCTGGAAAGAGGCAGCAAGAGTAAGGAGGGAGGAAGAAGTGTAGGAGATGAGGTCAGAAAGGCAAATGGCAAGCAGAAGTGGGGCAGATTTGGGAGCTTTGTAGGCCATTATAAGGACTTTAGCTCTTACTTTGAATAAAATAAGAACTATAAGAGGGGTTTGAGCAAAGAAGAATGTCACATCTAAATCTAATTTGACATTTTAAAACCACCACTCTGGCTACTGTGTTGAAAATAGATTGTAGTGAGGGAGGGTAGAAACAGAGAAATCAGGTAGGAGGCTG